GAGCTGGGGCTGCTGCAAGAAGCCACCTGGTTAGTCTTGACTTTGGGACAGCCGACCAAATCACCTCAACGTCTTCAAGAGGCTTCTCCCTTTGTGATCTACACGAAAGTCCCTTACCTTGAAAGTTCCTCCTGTCTGATTTCCCATCGACTGAATTCCCAAAAATCTTGCAAGGCTAACTCTCATCCCCTGTTCTCCATAAAACCATCCTGAGCACTGTCTCTGGAAGTGACCCTCCTGTGACTCCGTACTGTCTCCATTAGCCACACTGCCACGGTTCTTATGCAGAGAAGAGCATTAAGAATCGCTCGGATTGCTTTCCAAAAATCTACGTCCCCAGCCCCACCCCACAAGGTTCTTACTGAACCTTGAGCACCAAGGCCAGGACACAGGCTGGTCTGGTTCCATGTAGTACCATGCCAAAGTCAGGGCCAGGTCTGACCTCCACAGGCAGATCTCAAGTCCGTCTCCTCTTGTACCCTCTATTGGGACTTCTCCTTCAGCTGACTGGGCGAGTGTGTCTGTCCCACGAACCAGTCTCCCTGTCGGTGGGTCTCAAGCTCTCCTCTTGGAAAGAAGCACTGGGACGCCTCTCTTTAGCTACAGATATAAACCACCTTCTCCAACACAGCATCACCGCAGGTCAGCAGTCTGACCCTCTACCTGACTGCAATCGCTTTGATTCGAATGATTCAGAGCTCCTGGAAGGGGGTGGGACCTCAAATCACAGTGCTTGGTTTTCTGGAAGTTCACAAATGCTAGAATAACTGACTGAGTAGAACACCTTTTAAATGTCTCCACGGGACCTAAAAAAATGTCTTACATATAGTAGGATCCCAATAAACATAGAATTATTTACACGTATTTTAGTTTCTCACATAAACACGTCCACCACAATGAGTGCCTTCTGAGAAGGGACTTATTTTCATAGCCCAAACCTAAGATACACGATCCAGGCCAGAGCAGACATTAAGGAAAGGACTGGTCAAACAGGTGAAAGAATAAACAAATGAACAGAATGAACAGAAATGAACAGAAAGAGTAATTTATAGTGATGCTGACAGATAGCATGACCAAGCTCAGAAAACTGTCCAAATTCAGACAAAAAAAATATATACGTTCTACGAATGAGTTATTCCCAAGCTTCTGGATTTTAAAAACCAATCACGTATACACAAAACTAGTATAGTTATAGGTGTCAGCTTTTTTTTTTTTATTTTGCCAAATAGAGTTATAAATTAAAAAGTGCCATCTTCTATCATTGGAATTTCATAAAAGAAAGGACACTTTAAACACCAAAAATGTAGGAAGGACACGATTTCAAAAGGACAATGGTCGGTCCTTTACATCAAAGAAACGAAAACTCAGGATTATGGCTTATTTTTCTCATGGTAACATCTGCTTTCATCCATTGCGAGAATTTCTACACTAGACTATCATTGGGTGGGAAATAGTTCTGAAACAGTTCTGTAATCTAGCACGGTCTCTCGGAGAAAGCCTAGCTCATTTGTATGAGAAGACAGGCAAATGACTTTCCCTCTGCCCAGAGATGTCCATGTGACACTTTGCATTTCTGCTGTTTTTCTTTTCCAGCTCTTCCCGTATTACGATGCTGCTACTCAAGTTCATTGCAAAAGAAATAAAGAAAGAAAGTGTTTTCTTTTTTAACTTCCCACAATTCGAAGTAAATTTTTATCAAAGAGTTATGTACAGAAGACACTGTGGTCTCTGAGCCACCGATACAGTATTCAGAACAGGAGTATCAATGACCGTCAATAATTATTGGTACCTTAGATCCTTTTCAAATATAAGTAGTGGTAAAATTCAAAATGAAAAGGTAGAAAAGAGTTATAAAAAGGGAGTTTCCTTAGTGACCATGAAAGCAGAACCACCTAAGCATTAAATTTCTATGCGATCTATAATATACCAAGTACACAACAGGAAACTTACTTAATAATTACCAACTCGATCCTCGTTTTAAAGCTTAAGGAATCTAAATTCAGTCCTATGGTGACTAAAGCAATCATACCTGACATTCCGAAAAATTCCACTAGAGAGAAAAAAAATGAACAAAATTAGTTACATTCAAATCTGCTCACTGAGGTACTTTATCTCGAGTGAAGGATTGATGGCTATTTCTCTGAAAGTTGCTTCAAGGGATCGGCCTAATCTTAGAGAACAGGATCGGCCAGCTTTTTCTGTAAAGATAATAAGTATTTAGTCTTTGCGAGCTTTATGGTCCCTGTTGCAACTGCTTCGCTCAGCTGTCAGAGGGTGTAAGGCCACCACAGGTAACATGTAAACAAATGACTGTCCAACAAACACTGATGCAGAAATTTGAATTTCACACAATTTTTGCATGCCAAAATATTCTCTTCTTTTGAGTTATTTTTTTAAAAACCAGTTTAAAATGTAAAAACCATTCTTAGCTCGTGGGCTGTACAAAAACAGGAATATTTGGCCCGCAAGCCATTCTTTGCTAACCCACGCTGCAGATGATCAGTGAGGATACAGACTCACGGGAAAATCAGTTTACCAACCTCTCCGGGGCGCCTCGAGGACACCACACAGCCTGTCCTACGGACTGCACTCCAAGCTCCGTGACTGCAGGTTCCTGGTGACGGCGGTCCCGAGGCCTGCTGCTGTTCCTTCGCCAAAAACTGACTCCCCTTAAACTGTAAGCCCTTGGGCTCTACAGGTGTGTAAGTGTGGTCAGGGGCAAAAAAGCCAACTATGAGAACTGTGCGAATACCATACACACCAACGACTAGGCGGTTCTAGGTTGCAGAGCCTCCGATTGGCATATGACAAACCTCAGGTGCTCTGGGGCAGAGCAGAGCTGGTCACTCTGGAAACGGGATCTCCCTTTTTTCCATCCTGCATCTGTAAAAGGACAATGCCTCACAGAGGTGTCGTGAGAGTTCGATTAGGTAACGTGAAAGGTGCTCGGCGCACTTCTAAAACAATGAATAAATGATCGTCGTCATTATTATGCTACTTGGTTTTATATGCTCACTTTATGGCTTAGTAAATCAATCCTGTTTATGGATTTGAACAAGGTTTTATTATTCCTTTGTCGAAGATAAAGTGGTTTATCTACTCACTTCAGATTTCTTTAAATCTACTTTTTAAACTGAATTTAATGACAGTAAAACCAGCAATGCCGGGAATCCAGCAATGCGGTGATGGGGAAAACATCTCTCAGAATCTTATGTCCAATTTCCTATAATTAGTATGAATAGATTTTAAAATTCATCACATTCTTTTTCAATAACAATCATTTTACTCAGAGGCAACATCTGTAATAAGGAAAGCACTGAATAACTTTATTTTCAAACTTTCGTCATCTTACTTAGCATAATCTCAAGGCTATAGGAATATATGGCATGAATGCCTACTTTTATATATGTATGTACATTTATATGTATTTTTTAAAGGCTGATGACATATACCAAAATATATCAGTGGTCAAATTTATAATATATATTTATAGGTTGATTATTTTTCTTCTTTGACTTTTCAGAATTTTCCCAAAATTCCACAATGCACATGCATCACTTTTATAATCAGAAACACAAAGTCGTTTAAAAATTACAAATGCTCTTATACTAAATGATATTTTCAATGTTCCAGAAGGTGGGGAGGGGCTGGGAAGTCATAGAACATGTGATAAAAATAAAAGGAATTTTCATCAGCATAAACCCAAGTAGTTTAAAATAAAGTTGTGAAGTCTTTCTGACACAATGGAAAGAAATCACCACGGAAAACTAATGCTACAGAAAAATGTCTCTTTCGATCAATCGCTCTCATTCTCTCTCTGGTTTAGAAAAATGGAAGGCCCTGCTGATAGAAGAATCAAGGGATTTTGTTTCCTAAGAGCAACAGGACTCGGGACTGGATGTTTCCTAACTCGAATACATTACAGTAACGACTGAAGGCCTTTGACACTTACAGCCTAGACCGAAGGCATAACGAAGAGAGAGCCGGGCGCAAGCAAGGAGGGGGTGCATTCTTTACAGAGAGTTTTACCACAATAAAACGGACAAGACGTTGTCTGCTTTTTGTTATCACCACTGCCTAGAAATTCTGAACAATGTCACTTGATAAAATGTTCCTTCGGCTAGCACAGACCCCTCCTGCCTCCTCTCTTGGTGCACCTGTGGCCTCCACTTTTAGATAATCCGCCCTCTTTCATGAATTATTCACTGACTCTCTTCCAGTGCCTTTTGTACGCTAAATTCAAACTTTCTTCCATGGGCTGACTGATATAGTAAGAGCTCCAGCCGCACACCCTGTTAACTAACAATGTCTCAGCAACACTGCACCTCATTTGCAGGTGTGGCAATGTCTGTGCAATTTTTTGACTGTTTTATTTCATGAAAAAGAATAAATGTGCTTGCTCATAGGAGTGACCATCAGCCCCCTGGGGTGGCAGTAACAGAGCACCGCAGACAAAGCGTCTTACACAGCAGGGACGTATCGTCCCACAGCCCCGGAGGCCAGAGGTCCCAGATCACAGCTTGGGCAGCGCCGGCTCCTTCTGAGGGCTGAGAGGGAGAGTATATTCCAGGGCAAGGGAGCCAGCATTTAATGGCTGCCCTCCCTTGAACCAACGGTGTGCTGCTGCTAAGGGTTTAAAACTGGCTCTCGGGGCGGTGGCCGGGGGAGCTGATTGACAGCGTCTACCAATTTCCATGGTGGGGATATTCCCTCTCTGGCCAATTTCAAGCTCCTGACATGACGTCACTTGAACACAGAGTCAGGGAGAGACGTGTGCCCACAGCACTCGAGTACGCCAGCATGAGCGAGTCACATCACACGCATTATCTCGTTGATGCTGCGATGGCCCTTAAGTTCGGTGTTATTATATCACTTTTACGGATGAGGAAATTAACCACAGTTTAGAGAGGTTAAGTGATATTCTAAGGTCACCAAGCTAACAAATGAACTCAAGTCTGCCTAACTCCAGAGCTCTTCAAGGACTAGAGTTGATTGGTTTGTTCAACCGATGTGTATTAAATTATTAATAGGTGTATGGCAGGTGCTGGGCTTGGCTGGTGGAAGAGAGAAAAAAATGAATGAAAAGAGGAACAAGAGACAGTGTCCACCCACCTCAAGGGACTCACGGTCTAGTGGAAAAAAAATGGAAATAGTAAATAATTTTTTTCTTCAGACATTTAAGACATCCATAAAAGGTTCACCAGGAAGGGAAAAAATGAAGAAAGTTGAAGGAAATGACCCTTCGGTGAACGTTTTCTATCATTTCACTGACTGGGGACAGTGAGTGACACCCACGTGTCAGTTTGTCTGTAGAGGAAGAAACGCTTTTAAGTAACTGGATAGTAATTACCCTCCTGATGTCTCTTTCGTGCACGGAAGTTGCTCTGCTGTGGGAGGTAAGAGCGGGAGCAGAATGTGGCTGTTTTGCCATAGTCATTGTGCCTCTCGGGGGCTGGTCACCTCAGTCGGGCCAGTGAAAACTTTAATTCCTGATTTCACTGGACTAATCTAGCCAACGACTGTTTATTCCACTCGCCTGCTTCTCCTCCAGGTACAGACGTACCTGGCTTCTCCCGCTCCCCTCCCAGCCTCAGGTGACACAGTGCCATTTCTAAGGTCTGCTCAGTTCGGGACTCGCGGAATGAAGGGCTGCTGAGCTGGCAAAGACCTCAGAGGCATCCCTCCCAACGCTCGCATTTGACAGATGGGCTGCTAAGGGTCAAAGCGGGAGCGGCTCAGTGCCGATTTCTCGTCCAGGGCACTGTCAGTGACTAAAGGTAAGGTCAAATGATAGGGTCCGGGAAGAGTAAGGGAGGAACCAGGTAGAGGAAGAAGGCAAAGGGAAGGGACGTGGAGTTGAAATTAAAGGGATGTTAGGAGAGGCCAGGGAAGGGCTGAAGGTGACGAGACGCGCAGAGGGGCCATGACGAGGGGGAAGGAGGTTGGGGAAAAGCAGCTGGATTCAAGAACAAGGGACAATGGAGATGCGCAAAGTTCACACCGAGGACAGCATTTTTTGTGCGTGTATCTGTTGTTGCCTTACCGATGTAGAAAGTCAGGTACACCATGGAAATGCAAAGAACGACGTTAGTCAGCGTGTTGCTAAAAAGGTCAGTCAATATAAGCTGAAGCATTCTTGCACACCAGTATCCACAGATTATGCTTCCCCCGATGTCCAAGAACAGGTCTGTGAGAATGGGGAAATCTAGAAAAAGAAAATAAGAAAGAACGAACTTGAACTACAACTTCGTTTCTTTTATTGATGCCATTTGGGTCGATGGACTTTGGTTCCCTTCTGAGATTCTGAATGAAGACCTTGTTCTTCAGCAGATGGGAGTTTGCCGTGAAAGCCTGGCAAGAGAGGCTCCCTTGGGACACATGTCCCTTGCCGACGTTTGCTTATCCAGGGACAGCAGACTCAATACCCTCAGAAGCCAGTCAGGGAGAATAAGGTGGAAAGCCGGTGACAAGCTGGAGAGTGTGTGTTCAACCGGAAGATACCTGAATATCCACCCAGCTTCCATTTCTTTTTACAAACTATGTCAGGGCCAAGCAAGCCTTGTCCAGGGTCCCCACCAACCTGCGGTGCGTTTGTGACCCCTGCCCCCAGTCCAGGTAGTGTTTGGGAAATGGAGAAGTTTTCCATAGTCACAATAACTGGGGATAACAGTGACGGTTAGGGAGCAGTTTTCAGGTAATGCCAACGGTAGCCCCAAATAACAAAGGCTGCCCCGCCCTAAACGCCTGCCAACCCCGCTTTATCACCAATGTTTCTTTCTCCTTTTAACACCTCTCCCCCTATAACTGTCACATAAACACATCAGGAGAAAGCCTTTCCCCTCTTCACGCCGTGATTTCCCCCGCTTTCTGCTCCGGTTAGGGAGCAGTTTTCAGGTAATGCCAACGGTAGCCCCAAATAACAAAGGCTGCCCCGCCCTAAACGCCTGCCAACCCCACTTTATCACCAATGTTTCTTTCTCCTTTTAACACCTCTCCCCCTATAACTGTCACATAAACACATCAGGAGAAAGCCTTTCCCCTCTTCATGCCATGATTTCCCCCGCTCTCTGCTCTACTGTCATCATATCTGGCAAGCCAGCTGGACGACACGCTCTAAATCCCAGTGAATGTGAATCACGTGAATCTGACTATTAGCACTTCTCAGACCCGATGCTCCAGCTCTGCTGCTACCCTCAGACTCAGATCCAGAACAAAGCCAGTTCTTAACGTACACTCGCCGAGATCCAGACGGGTCCAGGATTAAAGTAAATCTGAGCCATATGAAACAATGCGTGTGTGTCTGTGGGTGTGCGCATACATATCAAGGGAGATAAAATAATTTAACATTCTTTTCCCCTTCATGCCCACGGAAACACATAGAGGGCATGTAATTATTTTCTGGTTGCCTAATATGCTATTTTAATTGGTCCAAGAGTCGAGGATGGAGAAAGTGCTAAAGTTAAGACATCTTAAATGTACTTTAAATTCAGTATGAATTGAAACACCCCAGATGAGAGCGATTCCAGAAAATATACAGACAAAAATATGCTCCTACCCTTAAACATGAACGTTTTAGGAAAGATGTTCCGAAATTTTTCAAAAAAGATGGATATGAAGCCACAGATGATCATCGATTCTCCTCTAATGATATCGGAATACATTTTGGAAACGCCTGGAAAAGTAAATAAAAAATATAGCTTAATATGGTACATGAAGATGATGTTCTTACACAGGAAACACAAAAACAGAAGAAAAAGAATAGGCTGGTGGGTGGGGGTGGGGAAGGCAGCCATGAGCCGTGACTGGGATGAGTCTGTAGGACAGTCACAATTGCCACTTTTTAATTTCTCCTCTTTGCCTTCTATGTCCCCAATGGCAAAGAAACATGGCAATAGCACTCCTTGAGGAGTCCATGGCCTCAAACCACGCTTGAGCTTCAGAATGAGAAAGAACACTTCCCAGGACATGACATTAAGCTTGCATAGACATGACTCCTTAAACTCCAAAAGAATTACATTTCAGAAATAAGTACAAAATATGACCCAGCAAGTCTACTCCGAGACATAGACCAAAGAGAGCTGAAAACAAATGTCCACGCAAAAATCTGTTACATGAATGTTCACAGCAACGTTACTCATAATAGTCAAAAAGTGGAGACAACCCGTAGTCTGTCCCCTGACGAATGGATAAACAATCTGGTCTACCACGGGAAGGAATAAAGTACTGACTGATACAGGTTACAACGTGGACAAACCTTAAAAACATCAAACTAAGTGAAAGAAGCCAGGTGCAAAAATTGCATATGGTACAACGTGATTTAAACGAAATGTCCAGAAGAGGCAAATCCATAAACAGGAAATAGATTAAGTGGTTGCCAAGGGCTGTGGGGGCGGGGGCAGCTAGGGAATGAGGAGTGACAGCTAATGGAGATGAGGTTCGTTTAGGGCGTGATGACAATGTCCTAAAATTAGATAGCGATGATGACTGCATAACTAAATATTTAAACACCACTGATTTGTACACTTTAAAAGAGAGAAATTTTATGGTATGGGTTGCGTTGCGATAAAGCGTTTGTAAAAAAAAAAAAAATTAAGTACGAAATCTTATTGGCACTTAACATCCACTAACAGTTAAGTTTAATGGAAAACATAATCCAATTAACTGCCTGGTGATACACAATTCGCTTGCAGGGCGATAGTGACTGGTGCCTGCCCATCCAGCATCCATCCACTGTTCTCGGCGACAATATTTGTTTTGTTCAGAGTGGCAACGTGCCCGACTAAACAACCACTTTCCCCCAACTTCTGGCTTCTGAGCATGACCACTGAAAACTTCTTGGAGAGAGAGGTGACTTAGCTGAAGGGAACGTCTTTGCAAAAAGTCTCCTGAATGATAGGGGAAAAACCAGGACTATAAGGAACGTCCTATAACTCAGCATCTGATTGAGGATCAATAGTCAGGTCGGTTATTTCTGTTCTTCCTCATTCATTACTGCAGCCCATAAGGAAGCAAAGATAATAAAAGGCAAGATTAAAAGTATAACCATCTCGTCTTATTATTACAACTTTGACCATAAACAGAAAGCACACAAATACCAATTCAACAAGATTAGCACATTCGACTTAGCTGGGCAGGAAACCCTTTATCCTCTCAGATTCAGTGGGTCGACCAGGAGCAAGTAAAGCATGAGGTTTGGCATATCGAGGTTTTTATTATAGCTACAATATTCAGAGTGAATGTTTCAATAATAAAACGCCACAGGAATTACTCCCCACATTCTTCCTGCTTTAATGTAGAACTAAATTATATTCATTAAATCACTGTAGAATTTAGAAAAGGAAATATGAAAAAAAAAAAATCTACAAATTCCACAACCCAGATATAAGCGTTTTAATGTTGCAGTCTTTTTTTAAGCGTATAATTCTTTTTATTCGATTGAAACCATACTGAAACTGTGTACGTTATTGCTTTATGAGTTTCTATTCCAGATTGTTTTAAAGTAAAACCTGCTGGAGCCCTACCGTGCTCTTTTAAAACAGATAATGAATAGACAAGTGCCTTTCAACTCCCAAGTGAACATCCGCCATACTCTTTACTGGGTCAGTCCCTCTCAGATTTAGGTTGGGCAGTTCCTATAGCACACGAGTGCACATCGAAAGAAGCGCCATTCGCAGTGTAAGAGCAGGAGCACTAGTTTTGTATATTATTACTATAGTTTTAAGCATATGGTAAAAATATTTTTCCTTAAAAAGTTACTGTATTATGACGATTAGATAGAAGTAAACTGTTTTGGGGAAAAGGACCATATATCTAATTCTCACATGGGTTCTATACGGTGGCTCTACCAATGCCATAAGTGAGAGTGATTTTCCCCCTTAAAAGTGAGTCAAATCTGTCTTATTGGGAAAAAGGTTTTTGGGCCCAGAACCGATGTACCGCCTAAGCATTACTGACATCAAGAAAATTTCAACCAAGAGCCAAATACCTTTGCTCATTATCTTTTCAAGAAATAGAAGATTTTGTATCCTACTCCTTTTTGAAAACGATTTTGAATATGGAAACTGCAATAAATAATTAAAGTTTAGAGTTTACTAACAGCCACTTAGAGTCAAGAGATTACAGAAAAGAGAGCAGGACGAGAGGAGGTGAATAAAACAAGTGGCCAATACAAATTAGCTGGAAGAGAAAGACGGGCGAGAAAAAGAAAAAAAAAAAAACCTGAACTTGGAAAAAGAGGCGGGGCGGGGAGAGAGAGAAAAGAGGACTTTGAGAAAAATCTTGTGACGATTTAGAACATCAGCACCACGAGGGCCTTAAAACCGCCTCTGTTTCCCAGCATAGGTATAAGAGGGTGTGAAACGTGAATACCATTTGCTGTGAAGGTCGGAGGTTTCCCACCCCCACCATAAGGCAATATATTGCTACTAAATATAACCAATACCTTAAACTTGGTTAGGAAAATATTGCTGAGTCAAAAACAGAAACCGCAGCATCTAACCCTTTCATGTTTGTACTGTCGTGTTAACAAAATGTGACCAAAGGGGTAGTGTTTCAGAGAGGAATCACCTTTTTCTAAATAAGACGGGAAGCAGAATAGGCCCCAAACCCTGTTGGGAATAAGCTTGTATTGAATGACATCATTGCCACATTGTGCTCTCACCGCACTTCTTTTAATGAACTACACTCCCCACTACCACCTGCCCCAACTTGGCTCATCCAAAACGGAGTTCTGGCAAGAGGTAGCAAGACCTTGACAAAGTTTCAGTGGGGAGAACAGATTCTCTCCCTCATGGCTCAGAATTCAGTGGAATGGAATAAGAAGGCTAATTTTGATCACCTTCTAGAAAGGTTACATTTTTCTTCTTGAAAAAAAAAAAACAAATCCTTTGAGATTATAACTGGCGTTATTTAATCCAGATCATGATTACATCCTTCAGGTTAATCGATGCTCTACCTTTAAGAACAGCAGCACAAATATCTACTCTGTCGGATGCACGATTCGTGCAAGAAAAATATAATCAGGTGAAAATAAGTTATCCTCAAACTTCAATAAGAGAGAGAAATAAATAACATACCAATAATTTTCAGTGAATTCACAGAATAAATAGGATCTGTAATGCTAATGGTCATGGTCAAGAGTATGGAAGCTTGCAAATCCCACATCTGTTTATTGAAGTTCATGATCACATTTCCAAGTATGATGAATGCCGTAGAGAAGCTAATGAATCCAGTTAACAAGACCTGTGAAGCCAATTCATTACACAGTGTTAGATTTAACCTCGAAAGATGGCATGACTCCGTTTACCTAAGAATCAGATCTTGGTGATTGATATATACAATTCTTCTGGTGATATATACAATTCCTTTGGTGATATATACTTTAAAAAAGTATTCTAGTTTACCTTGCCTCAAAGAAATCATCCCTTCTAAAAAATGAGATTCTATCTTATTGTGAAAAGACCAATCCCCCAATCTTTCTTGTTGCTTGCTATTCCAGCTTAATAGTTATTAACATCGAAATGTTCTTAAAATGTTCTTGAAATTTCTCCTGCTTCTGTGTAAAACATTTCCTGGTTTCCTCGGTGCCTAACTGAGGCAGAACGAGAGGTAAAAAACAAAGGGCAAAAAGCATGTGTTAGCTGATGTGGCCCCCTTATTAAGAGTATTCTAGAAGATACCACATTCAGCAAACTTTTGGATAGCACATCATTGTCCAAACTCTTCTAAGGCAACCACATAGTCAGGGATGCCAGGAAATGTAGTAGTTTGCAGTGGGCCCACTACCACCAAACCAAACGAAAAATAGTAAGTTTCTGTTAGTGAGGGAAAAAGGGAGAATGCATATCAAATAGGCAACTGGCAGTGCCTGCCTCATAAATAGAAATAAAATGTAAAACTTTTAAACAAGCAGAAGGAACAAAAAGGATAAAGAAAACGGAACCAACTTAGTTGATTGAAAAGGGAAGAAAGCAAAGAAAAACATGGTAAATAAAAAGTACAAAACTATATGGGAGAAATAAATCCAAATCTATTTCCTTTGATTTTTAAAAAATTGTCTTTAACTTATATGTGGTAAAATTCATTCTTTTGGTGTACAGTTATATGACTTTTGACAAATGCATACAATCATTTCATCCTTGACCCCAGTTACACATCCATCGCCCTAAAAAACTTCCCCATGCTGCCCCTCTATAGTCAATTTCTTCCCCCATCCCGAGTCCCTGGCAACCAATGATGTGTTCTCCAAACCCACAGTTTTGACTTTGCTAGAAGGATGGTCGGTCTCTGTATGGAGTTAATTAATAAGTGGCCTTCTGAGACTGGTCTTCTTTCTCTTAACACAGCACATTTGAAACTCTTTTGAGTTGTGCCTACGAATATTCTATTCCCTTTTTATTGCTGAATAATATCCCATTGTATACTGTACCAAAGTTCATAATTAACAAAACAATCTACTGAATACATTTAGTTAACCCAGCACTCAAAAATTAGAGAACAGACATTTTTTATAAAGCAAACACAGACCATTTTGGAAAACTGATCACGTACTAGGCCGCAAAGCAAATCTCCACAAATCACAAGAGCGGACATACAAGGCACATTCTCTGACCACACTGTGATGAGAGAATCGAGAGCCATATTTGGAGATTTTAAAACAATTTCTAAATAATTAACGGGTCAAAGAAAAAATATATTAAAATTTAGGTAGGACCGGGATGATAATAAAAACACTAAAAATCAAAACATACGGGATTACACTAAAAGACTAGTCACAGGAAAATTTAAAACCTTAAATGTACAAAGTACAAAAACTAGAAAAAGCTAAAACTCGGTCAACTAACATCTAACTCAAGATGTAAGGGGGTGGGGATGGATAAATCAATCAATCAATCAATCAATCAATCCAAAAAAGTCAAACGTTCTTTGAAAGGAAAACTAAAATAGTCTGGCAAGTATGGTTAAGAAAAAAGAAGAGAGAAGGCACGAATAGAACAATCTTAGCAGGAAAAAAGCGGGCAAATCTACAGAGAGAGCTGAGAGGAAGTCGGCTGTGACATCAGAGCCCGTGTTCTGTCATTGATCAGCCTGGTCGGTGGCCTCCACACTGCTATCTGCTTATATGTGAAATGGAGGTGGTATTTATTTACTCGGCACCTGGTCAGAGTGGTCACTCGCAAATATTATCCATTCTCCCTTCCTTCGGCTCTCTTTACTTATGGGTTCTGCAGAATGAGGAGGGTAAAACAGCTAAAAATGTGAGACTTGTGAATTATTGATCTTTATCGACGGTCATATTCTTTGTCCAAATGAATAAGCAAGAACTGACCTAATTTAAAACGTGTTCTTACCTGCCAAAGCATATTCCTGAGTATATAAAAGTCCACGTCCAAAGCGGCCATAAATATAATTAGAGGTGAGAAATAACAATAAAGCGAAAAACTTGGTGTTTTTAGAAGAGGGTAGACGAGTTGGTGCACCTAAACTAACGAAAACAAACAGAAAATTAGTTTGTGACCATTTTGAAGTTTTAGGAATTAGGTCGATGGTACGTCAATCAATATAAATCTTAAGAGTATTCTAATTTGCAGCTAATGAGAGATGATCTACCAGCCAAGTCCTGAGAGTCTTGGGGTTGATTTCTTGATGTAACCGTCCGGATGAGTTAGTGTGAGGTCCCCTATTCACCAGAGAATTGTGAGTTTGGGCTTGTGGTTAATAATTGGTGTTTTCAAAAGTGGAACCCTTACCTTTGGTGATCCCTGAGACAATTTTGGGTGGTTCGCAGATAAGTAGTTTTTATTTGACTGTTAGATATTTATCCTAATTTGCATTAAGAGGGAAAAAGGAATCGTGCATAGGTACTTGTGATTTCACAGACATTTGCTTAGTATTTTAAAATCTTTCAGTGAGTCAAGTAGAGGAAAATGTTAGATGCTAGTACGGATGGTACCTGTGGAAAATAAACCATGAAGGTCGCACACAGGGGAACAGAAAAAACCGCAGCAATGACAGCGGTGCCGTAAATATTCCCGCCTAAAAGGTTTCTGTCCCAATTAATAGTTTAACCTTCATTACTTAACCTCTCTGCGCCTCAGTTTGCGTATCTACAGAACAGGAGCAGGGTAATCACTTCCACTGGGTTACTGTGCGGGTGAATTAGTTAACTCAAGCATTAATAACAAGTTAGTAAATTAATAAATACAAAGCACTGAAAAGGGAGCCCGGTGCATGGGAAACACCCAAAAGCTGTTGGCCAGGACACGTGTGATATTTCAGGAGAGTAACTAGAGGCTTCGACAATCCTAGGGAGGCACAAGCATGGTCTCTGTTTAAAAAAATAAAAGAATGAGTGGAGACAAACTGTAATTGATCGCACTGCTATGCATTTGAAATTGAGGGTTAATCAATTAATTTTTCTTGTATCTATATCATACACGAGGTATGTTTCGCATTTAATCTGGCAGTTAGAAAAGCGTGACCATACTTCATCATAGCAATAACCACTGCCTTTTACGACTGATCTCCACGGGCGCTGAAGACAACAACACGCAAGACGCCAGCATTTGCACCGGGGGAAGGAAAAGGACAGGGCTCCCAGGGAGACCACGAAGAACTCAAGAAGACAAGCCAATCTTCCTCACTTCCAGATTGGTGCTTTTTCTTAAGCATCTCTGTGTGTCCTTTACTGAATGGTTTTCACTTTCAAAAACTTTACCACCAGGTGAGTATTTGTCTGTAACTCTTTACATTAAAAAACAAAAACAAAAACCCTCCATACGTTCGGGGATAGCTGTTTAGGGTCTTTGTCCTTTCGGTCATTCTCTAATTTGGGGTACATACATTACCTCAATGAAATTGTAGGCCAGCTGACCTATCACAAATCCTAGTAGAGAAAGAACTGTCAAGGTGATGACTTCAGAATTCTTTAAGCACATCCTTAGTAAGCCTAAAGAAATACATGCATGTTATTTAAACATGATGTGTCGTTTCAAAGCAACTTCGAATCCCCTCTCCCTAGTTATTTCATTTTAAATGTCCTCTGTCATATCATTATGAATAAATGATTGACAGCTGTTACAGATGCTGTCTCTTAAGAATAAGACACACAGAATGAGGCATCTCTTCCAGGTAAAGCTGGAAAATATTGAAGTTCCAAAGCCCTTCCACCTGCCCACCCAGTGTCATGTTAGGATCACTGCACGGGTGTCTCACCTATGGGTCTAATGATGAGAAATTACGAAAAGCCAAACTTCATATCTACATAGTATACCTTACATTAATAATTACTCATCCTAAGCTACAGCAACATATATTCTATAGTTTTCCTAAAAGCCAATAATACTTCTTTTATTAAAATTTATTAACATTGGTTAATAAAATTATGTAGGTTTGAAGTGTACAATTCTGTAATTCATCATCTGGATTTTGCATTGTGTGTTCACCGCCCAAAGTCAAATCTCCATCTGTCACCATACATTCGACCCCCCTTGACCCTTTCCTACCTCCCCGCTTCCCCTCTGGTAACCAGCAAACTGTTGTCTCAGAAATACTTTTATTATTATTTTTTTAATGCCTACAGCACTTGATCTTTCTAGGTGGTCTCCCATCCAAGTACTAACCAGGCTTGACCCTGCTTAGCTTCCAAGGTTAGACATTGGGCTTGTTCAGGGTGGCATGGCCATAGACCACAGACCATGTCTCCACTGGGGCATGAATCCAGGACCTTCTGGGTTCCTGGGTAAAGCAGACATGCTAACCGCTACATTATGGAACCACGTCCACAGAAATACTTTTAACTGAGCCCTAACCATAGGGAAAAACTGTCTTCACTGGACTGGTAACGAAAGCCCTTAATTCTCTATCTACATATATTTTCTTGCCTTGAAACTTATTCCCTGCAGGAGCAACGTATAGACTATAATCCAATTGATTTATGCCTCGGGCAAGATTCATTGGCATCCCAGATTCTGCGTTTCCTGACTTCCGGCTATAGGTCTAGCCAAATCAGTAAATTTATTGAATACTTCTTATTTGTAAAGCCAGACAAAGAAATGTTTCTCGAACTATCTCTGCAGTGTCCTTTATTGCTGGAGCACTTGTCTCTATGGAATCGTCAGGGGTCTAGAAATAGTGAAGTTCATGGTCACCAGCACCTCATAGTACTAACTGAAATCAAGGTCATTAATGAGTATCTTAAAGACCCCAGAGAAAACCACCTCACTCCCTGATACAATGAGTACATCTGAAGTTTTTTATGTCTGTTTGCTTCATTGTTTTTCTTTATAGTCCTCTTCGTTCCAGAAAGGTTATTAAATCAGCTGATATTTTTGCTCAAATAAAAAATTTTAAAGGGAACTAAAACTTCTCTAATCACTAGCATTGAATTGTAGAATCAAACAACCGCATTTTTGAATATGTTATCTTACCTGTATTAATATCGTTCACTGTACCTACTGAATGCTTAAGCATCGTTTAAGAGGCCCTTCCTTGTGAACTTTCTGATTCTCCAGTAGGAGGTGGTGTGGATGCTGCATCTTCCCCAAAGAAAAATCACTTCAAAAGCCATAGCAGAATGGACAAAACTGATGACGCCAACTAGGCGAATTGTGACTCGAACGTCTAGGTTCCATTTGCCCTCCCCTCGTCCCAGGTACTTAAGTCAGGTAAGGCTCTTCCTCCTCCTCGTCACCAGAGACCCTTGTCCACACTTTTGAGTTATGCTAAGCACACTGCATTGTAGTGATTTGTGAGCCTAACCACCCTAAAGACCCCTTTAGATTAAAGACTGTCTTATTTGCCTATGTCTATCATGGGGCTGTGCTCAGCAAATGTCACTGAGGGAAGGGACCTAGTGTAGATGCTACTTAGAATTAAATGAAGCTAGACTGACAGACAGCATTCGCTCTCGTCTTATAATTTCATTGGACCCCTTCTTCTGATGTAGTTGTGATTACTTTCCGCACTGACAAGGGTTCAGAGGGTGGAGGAAAGATGAAATTTAAAAACAACCACCTACCTCCCACAACAATAATGGAACACACGAGCATTGTAAAATGCCCTTTCACGAAAGTGTAGTCAGCTGGCCTTCCACAGAGTAAATCGGGTCTGCTACCTTCGCTAGGATTCCAGAATGAAGAGTTCGTTCTTGCCATGGCTTTTTCAGTCCTTACTTGATGAACTCATACGTGAGTTACTATTGACACTTTCCCAACTACAGACCGACCTGTTATAATATGCAAAAAGAAGAAAATGAGACTCGCCAGGACCCGATGCACACGTTCACACCTCCCGTTCCAGCTCTAGGTCCGGCAACATCTTACGGGCGCACGAACAGAAGCGTGGGTGCTTCGTGCTCAGAATGCGGCATGTATGGGGGGCAGTGAGTGTATGGGGCTTCGCGCTTACTGTTATATGATATGGTAATGTGTTTGCCTTCCCCATTGGACGGTTTCTCCAGGGCTAGAGCTGAATACTAATTTTTCTTAAGGCCGTGCACTCGGAGCATGGCACGTAAGAGGCTCTCCATTAACAGTGGATGGCCCGAACTGTTTGAGGGGAAACACTTTCTCCACGGGTACAAATCATTCTGGAATTCTCCTTTACTCCTGCGATCCCATGTCCCCTTTCTCCTCTTTCAGGACCCTCCGAATCCAAACTGGCAACTGGGAAATGAGGTCAAAGCTGAGTCGCACCTGTTAAGGTGGCGGTTGGGAGGGGGCGAATCACCTAAAAACAAAGGAAGAGACTAAAGTTGAGGTTTGAACACTTGGTACTTTGAGTGAATTGGAAAAAGTCCCCTTTCCCGATGGCAGGGCACACCGCATGGCTCGGCACGTGAGTGAGAGGCAGGATTTGAGCCCCAATCCCCCCACACACTGGTGCCCTACGTAGCAGTCCCAAGAAGGACTCGTCCTGTGTCATTTTCCTCGTGGCCAGCCTCAACCTAACAATTCCTGAGGTTCCTGAAGTGTCCCTGGCAATATTTAGAGCTCATCTTTGGTTCTCGGTTTTGTCCTTGTGTGGTCTACAGAGCACAGTGATTCCGGTGGGAAGTAGAGGATCGGGCCCGAAATGAGATTCGGAATGCGACACCTCCAATCACTTCACCTGCCTCTCGCGTAGCCCACCAGGTTCGTGGCGTCTTCACATCCTGCTCTCCCCGCTTGTCACCACAGCGTCACTCTCTAATCAACTTGTCCAAACTACCAAGACCAGCGGTATCTTCTTCCAAGGCACAGCTGGCTCAGAGCTGGCATCTGGATGAAGACTGTCGACAGGGAACGATGCTCAGCTCTGCGTCTGTTTGCCAGGAACGGTAACGGCACTGCCAACCGATGTCCCAGCGAAAGCCATTTCCATGCCTGATTCCCATTGGTTTCTTGCCAACCCACTTTTACTCTGATTGGCTGCGTACATTATCCCCACCCCCAATCCAGAAGCAGTTAACCGAGCCGTCTCAGGGAAGCGTGCGGTCTTATCCATCAAGCTGTGTCCACACCCACAACTGTCTTAACTGATTTTCTCTGCCTGACATAACAGCTGAACGGTTACTGACCAGGTGGACAGAATCTCCTCCTACATATATTTTTAATATGTACCGTGTTTCTTTCTTCCACTCCAATACTCTTCAACACTGCCTTGTCTCCCCTCTGCCTTTTTCATTCACCCTTTTCTATTTTCTCTTCTTCCACCTCTCCTTCCTTTTCAATAAGAGTTTCTCACCCCCATTTTCCTCCTTGGCTCCTATTTGTCCTTGGCTTTTGTTCCTTAATTTGAAGAAACAGTGTCGCCCACTCTTTATAGGAGAACAAATGCATCTCCAATTCTGTGATGCCTATAACTCACATATATTTTGCCCCATATCTAATCATTGAAAACGAATACGGTATAAATCTAAGCAATCAAACATCGGTAATCAATCTGTAGTTTACTTTTGAGGAAGTTATTTTGTGACAGTGAAATTCTACCCTCTCGTCCCTGTACTACACTAATCCAATTCTCTTCCCCGGGGCGGCAAGCATTACGCCACAGCAGCGAGATTACTAACCCATCACCAACCTTCTCCACGGCTCCATATCAAGGAAACTTTGACAAACCAAAGTCCTAATTCCTACCTGAGACTAAATGGTTCCGGTCAACAGTCTCGTCCACCCCTGACCGCAACCACCAGCACCGGCACCCACACGCCATTCCCCCAAATGTTCACTTCACAATATTTTGTTGTGGTTCATTTAAGCCGCGGGGCCCATCCTTACCAGCACTCCCCAGGTCCAAGTTAAAAATATCAACCAAGTAAACAAACAAACAAACAAACAGGTCTCATACACAGGATGTCTACTGAGACATTCTCCTTAATCTTTTCAATCCTGCCCTAATT